CCTGAAAACTCAAAAGACATTGAACTCCTGTTTAGTGGGAAAGCTCCAGGAGCAGACTCCAACCCAGCTGAGATCTACAAGCCTGGTGGGCCTAAGCCTAAGTCAGTGTGACTTCAGAAAGGTGATTTTTGCTTTCAGGTAGATGCAAGAAAAGTGTCAGGAACAAAATGTCAAGCTATATAACACCTTCGTGGACCTGACTAAGGCATTCTACACTGTCAGCCGGGAAGGCCTTTCGCAAGATCATGGCCAGATTTGGATGTCCAGAAGTCTTCGTTGAAATGGTGAAGCAATTTCATGATGGCATGCATGCTAGAGTCCAGGACCATTCGTAACTATTAGGAACTTTTTTCGTTACGAATGGTGTGAAACAAGGTTGCGTCTACGCACCCCTCTTTTCAGCCTCATATTCTCCGACATACCGATGGATGTTTCCAGGAACAGCGATGTGGGAGTTGGTCTCCGATACCATACGGATGGAAGGTTACACAACCTGAGGAGGCTTCAAGCCAAAGCCAATGTTGAGCAAATTGGCGACTTCCTATTTGCAGATGACTGTGCCCTCAACGCCAGCACGGAGGCAGGCATGCAACAGAGCATGGATCTCTTTTCCACATCGTTCACCGACTTCGGAGTCTCCACCAGCATCACCTTGCTCCTGGAATAGATTACCTGGAACCATCCGTCACTGTCAATGACCAAATGTTCAAAACTGTGGACAGGTTTACATACCTCAACAGTACCCTCTAATAAGCAGTTCGCATAGACGATTGGGTTAACACCAGGATTGCCAAAGTCAGCGTAGCGTTTGGCAAACTCTCCTCAAATGTTTGGGATAGGAGAGGCATCAAGCTTGCCACCAAACTCCAAGTCTACGCATCGGTTGTTCTCCCCAACATCCTCTATGCTTGCAAAATCTGGTCTATGTATGGCCGCCACGCTAACCTCCAATGGGCTGACCATGTTGTCCTCATGCTGAAAGAACGTCTACCCAAGACGATGTTCCAAGGAGAGCTACAACAAGGCAAGAAATATCGAAGAAGAACTTTGGCATTGACTTTGAAAGCTGAGAGAGTGTCGTTGCTTGGTGCAGTCAAGTCAATGCCGGTGCAGCAGCCTTTGAACAGAAAAGACTGGTGGACGCATCTGAAAACGTGCTTTGTGCAAATCCATGAACACCAGTTCAACAAGTCTCAATCAGCAACTTGTATATTCAAGTCACCACTGCAACAGACTCCTCCAGGCCCCGATTGGACTGATCAGCCATTTCCTCATCCAATCCAGTGATTTCAATGACATTAAATGGTCCTCATCGACACAGATGGACGAATATCATCATCATCATAACTGCATATACATTATAACTGACCATGCATCGTAACTGTCTGTACATAGTAATTGTTTATACATTATAACTGACCATACACTGTAATGAATATGCATTATTATTGACCATACGTCATAACTGTTTATGCATTATAACTGAATACACTTCGTAACTGACTATACATTGTAATTTAATTTACGTTGTAAATAATTATAAATTGTAACTGGCTATACATTTCAACTGATAATATATACATCGTAACTGACTATACATTGTAATTGAATATACATTGTGACTGGTTGTATATCGTAACTGATTATACACTGTATTTGACTTTTCATTGTAACTGACTATGCATTTATAACTGGTTATACATTGTAGCTGAAAATAAAATGTAATTGATAATACAATATAACTGACTGTACATTGTAAGTGACTTTACATTTTTACATTGTAACTGACATTACATATTTACTAGCTATACAATGTAACTGAATATACATTTTAACTGGCTTTACATTGTAACTGACAAAACAATGTAATTGACAATACAATGTAACTGACTGTACATTGCCACTGACTATACATTGTCACTGGCTATACATTGTAATTGAATATACATTGTAACTGACTATACATTGTAACTGGCTATACAGCATGACTGATAATGCAATGTAACTAACTATATATTGTAACTGAATATATATATATATATATATATATATATATATATATATATATATATATATATATATATATATATATATATATATATATATATATATATATATATATATACTTCGTGGAGAGATATACACGGGCATAAATTAAAAAAACAACCGAAAATATCTGTGAAGAACTGAAGGGTATAAACCAGTTAGAAACAGCTGTATAGACGCACATATCAAATGCACCTTTTCTAATTTGCACTGCATTACTGAATGCATTAATTTGTCATTATCGCATGCAGTTAATGAAATTTACTGGTGTTAATTGTTGTGCATTTACTTGTCATATACCATCTGCTTTTGGTGGGGCTTTCCTGGTTCTAGCGTAGTTGTTACCATTGTTAAGTTTTATTATGTTTTGGGGGTGGCTGGGGGTTTTTTTGTTTAGGGGAATGTTAGTAGTGAAGGGGGATATCCCCCTTCACTACTAATGTTTCAAACACTGCAAATGTACATGTGCATGTGTGCGTGAGTGCATGTTTGTGTTTCTATGTGTTTGCAGTAATAGCCTAGAGATCTCAATAGCCTCCAGGATGTGACCCAGGGAATAAATCCCAAGGATCAGATAACACCCATGGTGTAGATTGGTCCCATGGATTCATTGCTTCATGCTCAATAAAGGAGTATTATGCTGGATAGATATGTCAATGTTAGCAGCGTTGTGACAAACCTGGGTCGGAACATATCCAACGAATATTGTACCCAGCAATGCTATTTAAGGATATTAGACAATGAATTTAAAGAGACGTGAAACAAGAACCGTGTCAGGAGAGTTTGGAAACACACTTTGACTATGCGGAATGAGTGTAAAGACATAAGCTATATATATATATATATATATATATATATATATATATATATATATATATATATATATATATATATATATATATATATATATATATATATATATATATATATATAGACTTTAGCTTTGTAAATAAGTGTAGTTTTGGACACATTTACTAATTGCATAGTCCCGTAGTTAACCTGAAGAATCGCTCGATTAATAAACTCTGGTTGTAAGAAATTCATGTGTTATATCCAGTGTGGGGTCCTGCGATGAACATTTATTCGAATTATATCAGTTCTAATTATATGTGGGTGTTTCATGATCATCTGTCTGTATTATATATATTATATATCCTTGGGAACGTTTGATGCGTACCGAATTGAATTATATTGGGCTTTTTTCAATTGTTTCTATTTCACACTAAGTAAAGATGTATCGATCTTCTATCAAGCATCGCACCGGGAGAGACAGCTCTGTCGCCTGATAAAGATGTAGTCTCATGTCGGTTCTTATTGATTGGAACGTATTATTTAAAACAAGCCAGTTAAAGACAGGAAATTGTATTACTTTATTCAGAAGATTAATTATTCAGAAAATGAAGATCATATTATTGATCTGGTTTTAATCTATCTATCTATCTATCTATCTATCTATCTATCTATCTATCTATCTATCTATCTATCTATCTATCTATCTATCTATCTATCTATCTATCTATCTATCTATCTATCTATCTATCTATCTATCGATCGATCGATCGATCGATCTATCTATCTATCTATCTATCTATCTGTTCATCTATCTATCTATCTATCTATCTATCTATCTATCTATCTATCTATCTATCTATCTATCTATCTATCTATCTATCTATCTATCTATCTATCTATCTATCTATCTATCTATCTATCTATCTATCTATCTGCTTTATTTTCATATTTTCAACAATCTTGCACTACTTTCTTTCTGTATATCTCTTTCTAATTTGCTCATTCTAAAGACCAAAGGGTGCTGCTATAACATCGGTTTCTAGTCTCTTTTATGGTTTCTTCCACATATATATGTAGATTTTTCCTCTAGTTCAATGGAACTTACGCATGGGCTTACATCTTCTAACGAGTTCAATGGAACTTATATTCCACAGCGTCCAAAACGACTTTTCAAAATGTAAATCAATATTTACCTTGAGCCTATATAGGAGGTTAAGATATATTTATAGTCTGGTGTCACTTTCTTACAATAGATCTATTTTATCAAAAACAAAGATATAATTTTTCGTCACATATAAATGATATAATTTATGCATAGCTTGCAAAACTTGTCAGCTATCATGTTTTAAATGACTGATTTTCGTGTCTACAAAAAAATAAACTTCGAAAAGGGAAAAATGTATTTAGTTCAAATAAATGCAATAAAAATTCGAAACTAAATGGCCAAAAAAAACGTGTACACCAGAAATCTATCGACTTCATTATGATTTCTACACTATATCTTCATTTACTTCTATGACAATCGGACTCCTTTGTGTTCGCCGTTTTTTTTAAACGATTATCGCCATCCATTTCAAATGAATTTTGTGTGGGATAAGATTCACAATCAGGTCTGGGCACACGATTCCAATCTTCATAAAATTAGCCGTTAGTTGTTCGGTGGCAATCAGAAGCATATGTTTTCTATCACGTAGTCTCATTTATAGTTATTACAATTTTTTCAGTGACATATTAATCAGTGCTAAAATTCCTTATCCTACAGTAAAAGTAAAATAAATAAAAAAGTAACACATTAATCAGTGCTAAAATTGCTTATCCTACAGTAAAAGTAAAATAAGTAAAAAAAAGTAAAATACATGCAGTGGTTCGCGCTATAGATTGCAGTCAACCAGTCTGTATTTGTGTGTGTGTGTGTATGTGTGTGTGTTTTTTTGTATTGTTAATATAGCTTTAACAGTGTTTAGTCATATCTTTACGATGTCTGCAGTGTGACAATTTAAAGTGATAACTAGCACTGGGGCATCATGCTGCAGACATGTAGCATGATGTCCCACCCAGTCACATTATGCTGACACCAAGCCGACCAGTCCTAACACGTAACTTCTTAATGCTGAGCCTCAAGCGAGGCAGCTGTTAGTACCATTTTTTAAAAATCCTTATTATGACTCATCCTGGGATCGAACCTGCGACCTCCAGCATCCGAGGCAGATGCTCTAACCACTAGGCCATCGGAGTTGTTAACTAGCCAATGTATGTATGTATGTATGTATGTATGTATGTATGTATGTATGTATGTATGTATGTATGTATGTATGTATGTATGTATGTATGTATGTATGTATGTATGTATGTATGTATGTATGATGCAGCCTATTGAGAAACTTGGAATGTTTGGTCTTAATAACAAAATCAACTGAATGGAAACCAACAAATGTTTCACCACTTTCTCAATGTTTAGGATTTGTGAAATGAAACGCGGTTTATTTCTAAAAGGAAATGCTTTGTTTGTCTTCAAAGGATCTTGTCAACAGCCAATCAAAGAATCTTTGTCTGTAGTTTGCGAATTGATTTTACGTCATGCCATTTGTCCACGAAAACGACCCCATTTCCTCGTTTGATAAAATAATCTCCGACATCTCAACCTCGTTTAATACAAAAAAAACTTCTCATCATCTATTGATACAAAAATCACTTTCAGACCACATGTACGGGTTTTCTGCATTTGACGATAGTTTTGTTATTAAGCTTAACGCCATTTTTCAGCATATGATAGGCTATACATGGCGGCCAGTGTTAATGGTGGAGGGAGAAACCAGGAAATCCGCGGGAAAAAAACCAACGACCCACGAGAAGCTACTATCAAGCTTCTCACATATCCACATTCGCCGAATCTTAGACTCGAACCCACGCAGACAGAGGTGAGATAGCAGTGATCCGTAACGGAGAGCACATTAGACCACTTGGCCACTCGGGGCCCCCACAATTTTGTTATAATTGAGTATATACCGAACGGTCTACAGCACTTCACTGATCTACATGTGAACCTTGAAATTTTTCATAAAAGTATCTTGTATAAAATGTAGCAAACGTCATTTAAGTGTATGAAACAGTCAAGCACACCTTAAGATAATAAACTTGACTGCACGTACCGTAAAGACAGAGTTTTAGTTCAGTCGAATGAGGATGACTTTTCGACTGTTAAACAAAACTAAATAAATAGCTGTTTTTATATTTAAAAAAAAAACTTTCTATTAAATTCACTACAAAATGATTCAGTTGATAATTCTATATTATATTAAGTCGAATATTTACATACAAAATAGAAAGTTACTAGTACCGAAAAACTAATATAGCTATTTTTGACGAATGCTGATGGAAATAGCGAACTAGGGAATCGTATTTCAGATGAATACGATAGTAAGACAATACATAATACATATTTGATCTTTTCGTGACTATCAATTCCACACTCTCTGTTTCGATTGGCTCCCTAGAGTTAAATGCTGGATGATATAGTACTTCTACGTTTTATGGATATTGCAGTTTTATATGTTTCTGAAATATCCTATAACAGTGTTGTACTTGGATAAACAAATAAGAAAAAAAAACACTAAATCGACATTTCTTACAGTTTACAAGACAGTTGGTTGCAGACAAGTTGCTCATTACATGACATTAAACTGTTTATTTGCGAATTCGTTTAGAATCACCTAATGTTTATTCTATGATTAAGAACTATTCGTGATAAATAAATAACGTTAACAAATATAGAATAATTGTCATGACTTTCGTCAAATATCACCCACTATATTTTATATATTTCTGCTTCTTAAGGTTATTATCGATTAATTTTGTGTCTCTCTATGTCTGAACGTGTCTGGAAGAGAACTTTATAATCCATCTACAATCCAAAATGAATGCTTAATTAAAATATTTTTGGTCTAAAGTGCACATAATTTTAATTCGAGTGTCATTATAACATATCCTTCTATAATCAAATTATCTAAGTAAAATCATTTTTACGGCGTGCTGTTGTTGTATCTATAAGCCAAACGTTTGAACAGATGTTGTTGATCTTTCGTGCTCATGGAATTGAGTTGGCACATTCGTTCAAAATTTTGCAAGCAGTATCGACAGAGTTATCGCCTTGTACGTAATAATTGCTCAAGAAAAAAAAAAAACAACAACCAAAACCCACAAGTAATAAATGACTGAAATCTGTAAAACAAACTAGATATTTATTTTAATAATAATGTAAAGAAAGGAAGTAAAATGTAAATGTTTTCAATTTGAGTTATTTAATATGATAAATGGATAAATTTAGTTATCGATGGTTTTCGATACTATTTTCAGAGAATAAAATAGACCTAACGAGCAATTATATGCTTGTCAGTAGATATAACAATACATCTTTAATGGTCAGTAGACTTAACATTGCTCTCTGGCTGGTCAGTAGACTTAACCTTGCATTTTGTCCGGTGAGTATACTTAACCTTGTTTTCTGGCTAGTGAGTAGACCTGACCTTGCTTCGTGGCTGGTGAACAGATAATTAACTTTGTTTTAGTGGTGAGTAGACTTGACCTTGCTTTTTGTCTGGTGAGCAGAAAATGAACTTTGTTTAGTGGTGAGTAAACTTGACCTTGCTTCTTGTCTGGTGAGCAGAAAATTAACTTTGTTTTAGTGGTGAGTAGACTTGACCATGCTTTTGGATGGTGAGCAGAAAATTAACTTTGTTTAGTGGTGACTAGACTTGACCTTGCTTCTTGGATGGTAAGCAGAGAATTAACTTTGTTTTTAGTGGTGAGTAAACTTAACGTTGCTTTTTGTCTAGTGAGCAGAAAATTAACTTTGTTTTAGTGGTGAGAAGACTTGACCTTGTTTTTTGTCTGGTGAGCAGAAAATTAACTTTGTTTTTAGTGGTGAGTAAACTTGACCTTGCTTCTTGGATGGTGAGCAGAGAATTAACTTTATTTTTAACGGTGAGTAGACTTGGCCTTGCTGCTGGACTAGACATCCCAAAAGTATCAAAATATTTAGTAGAGTCTCTAATATCAATAGCGTTATTATGTCATTATGGTCATAGTATGGTCATATCCCAGACAACATAACATTCCAATACATATATTAACTTTCTGAAAGAAGGAAAATATAACTGATATTGCATTATCCTGGAGTAGAATTTTAGATCGTTGAAATTGACCTTAACACAAGTTCGCAGTTAATTTGAATTATTGTGCATATTTCACCCAAGTAATGCAGTTTTTGATTTTGATGAATGTTTGCTTTCGATGTGTCCTCATATTGAATTTTGTCTGTCGTTTACTTTTTTACCACACGTTACTGTTTATGGGAAATTTGACTGCGAGGGATAATTCAAACTGCCACAAGATATCGGACTAGCAGCAGCCTCTATTTTTATGCTTTAGATTTAAACTGCATTCCTCAATACTAAATTTAATTATTTCAATTTGTAAATGGCCTACAAGTTTTATTAGATGGATGAAGGACGTGAGGCACTATTGGATGCCAAATTAGGTTTGCTAACCACAGATGTACATGTATGTTGTTTCAATACATGTTTGTGGTTTCCATAAATGTTTGTGGTTTCCATAAATGTGTGTGGCTTCTAAATACTGTGTTAAATATTCAAATGACCAATTCTGGATTTTGTTGATGATAGGTAACTGATGACTGATAATTGATGATCGGTAACTGATGACTGATAGTTGATGATGAGTAACTGATGACTAATAGTTGATGATGAGTAACTGATGACTAATAGTTGAGGATGGGTAACTGATGACTGATAGTTGATGATGGGTAACCAATGACTGATAGTTGATGATAGGTAACCAATGACTGATAGTTGATAATGGGTACATTATAATGTTTCATTGACAGACCTGAAAAATGATCCAACCTGGTAAGAAGTGGCGATCTAAATGAAAAAAAGATGAGTATCTTCATCATTGCACCTTCATCGTTGTTCGGTATATTACACATAGTCGACTTACACATAGGTATATTCACGGTATATCACATACAATCGACATATACAAAGGTACGTACACGGTAAATCACACACAGTCGATATATACAAATGTAAACACACTCACGCACAATCGACAAAGATACATGTATATATGCGGTATATTGCACACACTCGACATATACAAAGGTGCATACGCGGTGCGGTATATCACACACAATCGACATACACGCATGTATATATGCGTTATATATGATATAATTCTGGTCATTCGAAGGTTGATTTACTACTCAATAACATATCAACATACATTTGACATACACAGTGGTATATACACGGTATATCACAAACAGTCATGATACACATTAGCACACACACGAATTATTACACACAGTCAACATACACTTAAACACATACACGATATATCACACACAGTCAAAATTCACACAGGTGTATACACGATTTATTGCTTACCGGCATCAAACATAAAGGTATATCCACGATCTATTACACTGCATCAACACACAAGCACATACACGTTATATTACACACCATTCAATACATACACGCAGATGTATACATGTTTTACAATCAGTTAACATACATAAACGGTATATCACAAAATATCGATATACATACATGTACACTTAATGACATGTTCTAGTGTATTAGAAAAACATTCCTTAATGATTCTCGCAACGTCGACGTTCATTATTCATTGTCAAGCCCAGTAATACTAAATCAACCCTCGTTTGGAGGATGTTTTAAGATAAGCTCAATATTATTTTCCATTAGTAGACACTGAGATAACCAGAAAGCAAAACAGCATTTACTCCAGTTTTGAGTCCTGTCAATACATATCCAGTAAGGATATAAACCCGTCACTTGAAATTTTCTCTCAGCTGTAGGGGTGTTAAAACAGTCATAAAGGGAGCTAAACCGTGGTTGACCTTTTCTAGCACAAATAAAATAAATTCATGAGTAGGTAATTGCACAGCAGATAAACGACGTCCATACCTCGTTAGGTGCTGATTAGCTTCAAAATGGTCCCAGCAACTTGTTTCTTTGCCCAACTATAAACGAAACCAGATCGCGGATATCACACATAGACCTATCAATTTACCTTTTGATTTGCCCTCCTCGGACTGGAACTAAATTCCGTTCATCATTGTTCGTCGGCTGCCATTACGGTAGTGATTGAATGTGATGCCTTATGATAACTTTTCTCTCAACATCTAGAACTAAT